AAGGATAACCATGTTAAGGGTCAAGCAAATGGGTGGGGGGGTTTTCACGCGACCTCGCCTTGGTGGGAGAAAAGATGCGGCCAGGCAGCCAAATCACAAAATGAACTAAATGTTTCTTCATGTCGGCCCATCCCCTCTCAAGCAGCTTCCGCTCATAATCTGCAGAGGTCTGTGGATCAGGAAGATCATACTGATACTGATGGATGCTGTTGGTCCAGTTCATCCGAAAAAGATTGACCCTCACTGGGAAGGTTTTCTCGGGATTCTTCCCGGTAGCATCTTTGGGCATCTCTTGCGCAGCTGTGATGCCATCTTGTTGTATGGGAAACCATTTGTCCTGGTACATTGCCACCCTGCAGCCGCAGAGATTCCGAAATCTACTGCTAGGCTACATGATGGGGCTGCTAACCGCAGCATTGAGCCACGCGGCTAGAGGAGCGCATGAAAATCGCAGCCTTGCGTCCTTGCGTCTTGCGAGGCCTTGTCAGCCTTGTCTGTCTGGGGAATCTCAAGCCTTAATCTCAGGTTATGGGTCCTGGGCACAAAACACGAAAGGCAGCCATCTGAGAATGCAGTGATAACCCGACCGGGACTCGGGATACATTATCAGCTTCTTGGCAAATCCTACGGGAATTGTGTGAGGGCAGCGGGCCGAAATCAATTCAATAAGATCCAAATATCTCCCCCGAGACCATGCTTCTGTTGCGGCCATCAGTCGGGCACCGGCTCGTGCCTTCTGGACTCCCGAGGACCGCGCACACGACATAGGTGAGCACTCCTGCCAAATATTTTGTTGAATCGACACAGCACAGGTTGCTCTGCCAGATAAAAGGATGTGGCAACATATGTTGCTCTAGCACAAGATGTGGACGAAGCAATGAACATGCCATTGGACTGACGCGATCACGCAAGGAAGCCAAGCGCAGCTGTGGACAATTCTTCATGATGGTCTTTATGGCTCTTCTGTGGAGTCGCAACTCGTGAGAGGGAGGCAACAGGAGAGGAAGAGATGTTCACTACAAGGTTCAGGTGTTCAGCCCGCGGCTTCTACAGACGGTAAGAAGGCTGCAACCCTGATGATTTTGCCACAACCAAAACACCGCGGCTACTCTACTGGCCAAACCCGGGCACTTGTCATCTGATCCATTCTAGTTCATCTTGCAGCCAGAAAGCAGGCAAATTGCATGGCACAGAATGAACCGTCAAGATTGAAAGCCATGGTCTCTCTGTTCTACCTCTCGGACAATGGAGCAATATCTTCATGTTTCTATGTCCCCACTTGGCCCCTCTGTCATGAAACTCAGCGCAGCATTTGGCATTTACGGTTTGGCCAATAATTTGCGTATGCTGGGGAGTAAGTAGTCAACAAAAACTACGTGAGGACCTGCCAGCTGCGTTGGGATCAGCATGAACCACCGCACGTTCAGGAAGAAGTGTGCAGCCGTCAGCAGCGAAATCCACGAGAGCATGAGCCTGCGGGCGTGGGTCTCATTGGCGGGGGTTCATGGCTCCCGCATCGCAAGCCACAGCAAGTACTGCAGGTATGAGTCGGTATGAGCCTAGTGATTTCCAGCTTTTCGCTACCACTACAAATAACTTCCAGGCAAACGTTTCTGCACAATCGCGGAGTGCCCCGTGCCTGGAATCTGAGGAATAGTTGTAACAGTCCGGGTTGTCCGGGCTCATGAAAAAGTCTTCGGCTAGCCGATACATCCTCAACACATAGTGGTAGTCAATGTGTGGCACAGCCTTAGTGAAGCCAGTTGCTTGGAAACCCTGCAAATAAGACATGCACAAGTGGAGAGGCCTCGATCTTGCAGGGAACGGACCTCAAAAGGCTCAAAATGACCTGAAAAGTTGAAACAAGCAGCGAAGATGATCACCGGGACCATGAAAGCTATGCACCTCTCGACGCTTCTCGCCGAGGCAGAGAAGCACTGTACCAGACCCAGGCTCGCCTCAGAGCACGAGGAAAAGCGCGCTCAAGAGCTCCTGGTCCCCATTTCAGCACTCACAACTGGGACAAGCCTGGCGAGGTTCCAAGTACATCGACGATAGCACATTGGCCAGGGCGTTGGGATCGTGGAGTGTGGAAGGAGGTCATGTGATGAACGAGTCGTGTTGGGATTTAATTAGAGAGAGTGAGTTTGGGCGTGGTCAATATGCCTGGTCCCCATTTGGGGGTTTCTGAAATAGGGGACCCTAACATAGTACCCTAAATAATAGGATCCTCAATATAGGGACCCCAAAATAAGGTACCCCTAATTTTCAGAAACTCCCATTTTCCTCTCGTAGTTTGGAGCTACTAGTGCCCGGGCTCTCACGTTGAGTCCTAGAGTCCTCACAGAGTCCTAGAGTCCTAGATCCTCGACGCTCCTAGACTGTATTTCTCGGAGCTCCAAAGACATTGCTCTGGAATTGGGGATTCAGCTTTGCGGCTTCGGTCCCGGCCTGCTTCCTATGTCCCACGCGAGAGATGATGCAATGGCCGTCTATTGCAAACATGCTGTTCGAGTCTGCACATGCTACGTTGGATGCAAGAGCTCGGCGACAACTTGCAAGGTCTACACTGCTTGATGACAAGGTCAACACAGGCGGGCTCTGCTCCGTCCACAACCTCAACAAGCTCTGCAACAACCTCACGTGCGCACGAGAGCGACCACACACACACACACACACAAACACACACTTTGTGTTTCAATGTGCGATAGGATTGACCTCCGAAAGATTCACACAGGCGTCACGCCTAGGCCCAAGTAGGAAAACTATGGAAAAATGCGCTGGGATTTGAGAACCGGCTGTTCCCATGCCCTGGTAAATAAAACCTGGACCTGGACCTGGGACGAGTGGCTACCGCGACCAACGTCAGGAGAAGTGCACCGCTGCATGTGACGCGGTGAATGAGCACCTCCCTCAGACCTTGGTTGAAGAGCTAGGGCGGGGCAGTGGGTCTAAAGGATTTCGCTCAGGGCCCTCCGCTTTGAAAAATCACGCTGTCCTAGACTCCTAGACCCAAAGCTCTAACGTCAGTGAGCCCCATTGCTTCTGAGCGGCCTGGAATGGCAAGGTCACCGGCCAAGAAAGACTGAGTCAAATATGCACTCTGAACCAGCAGCAGTATGGCAAGCCTCAGAGTAGGAAATTGCAAATGGCTCATGCTCACCTTCGCAGGAGATCCCACGATCCTCAACACCCATGAATTCTGTAAAGATTGCAGATGCCTCCCTGCACAGCAGAAGCTATGCTTACCATTTGGGATATACATGCCGGCTCACATGTTCAGATCGTGACTGGCATTTTCGGTCTGCAGGGAGGGAGGGAGGGAGAGAGAGAGAGAGAATGTGCGAACACTCTTCAGGTCGATTGCTGTTTGAGACTGGCACCTGGGGTCCGGTCTGCTGGAGCCTGGCTCGAGCAACCTTTGGGTAAGGGATTCCTCCATTTATAGGGAAGCGCAAGCACCGCACCGTCGCCGAATTGCGAGGCATGTTGATAGGAGAGCGCTAGGGCCGCTAGGGCTGTGGAGACTGAGAAACAAGCCTGCGTTCACGGAAGGAGGGACGGGAAGAGGCAAGCGAAGAGAGAGGCAAAGAGAGACCTTTGCACACTGCGCACTACTTCTTAGCTACGTCGATGGATCTCTGTGTGTCACTGTGTGCAGGAGTGCTTGTAGCATAGGGGGGTACTTCAACCTCTGTGCGAATGAACAAACACGTCACAATGCATGCAACGTGAATGCAAATATGGAATGGTTTTGCATAGGCATACACATGGTCGTGTGCCTGCGTGCGTATGTGGGTGTGTCTGTCTCTGCCTGTCCCTCTGTGTGCCTTCTATGTGACTGAACGAGCAAAACCCACTCACACAGGAGAGTCTCGATGCGATTGCCAAGGCACACCAGCGAAGACCGGGTCATAGCCTTCAGCATGCCTTCTCTTCGAGCTTCCAGGAATGCCCTGAAAAATGACAGGGCAAGAGTGGGCCAAGGAGGTCGGTTCGGAAGAAGAGCTAGTCAGTAGCAGCCAATCATTGCCTCCTGGTGCAGGCTTCAGAGGATCCCATTTAGATTGAGCTAACCCCGTCGTAGCATCTGGCCTTCACAGAGAGAAGACTGGCCGTGGACAGTATCTGAGGCGCAGGCTCCTCCATAGCATCTTGCTGGAATGCCAGCGAGAAGAAATAAGTGGCGTTGGTTGTTGATGCCTCCTGAACTTGCATCATGGATTGGGGGCGCGGGGAAAATCAGAGCCGCGTCACTCCTCCCTCGCTGTAGCTTGGTTTTTACTTGTAGCTAGCCAGCAGAGAGCAGCAAAGGTGCATCAAGTAAGGGGCTTGCCAGCAGCGTAACTGAAGTGTCTGAAAAGCTCTGTAGCCGAAGGGCCGTCATCTCCCCCGCAACGTCCAAGACTGCAGCTTCGAGCGTCCTCAAAAACACACAGACAACGACATGAAAAAGACTCCAGCAGGGCGACCTTGGATTGACTCATATTCTCGGAATCTTGTTGCAATGCTTTCGCTTTACCATGGAGCCGGTGGAGCCTCTTTGCTTAGGTTGCTCGTTGCAGCCAAGGATCGAATCGGTGAAACAGGGCACTACATCCGGTTTGTCCGGACGAGCATGGCTGAACAGTGTTGACACGCACCAGCCAGGTTCAACGTAAGACTTGAGTTTGTGGCTAAGGCGGCTAAAGCACATGTCTGTTTGGCTGCATGGGGCTCTGGCGCAAGTGTCATGTTCGGCGATTGCATGAGATTGAAACCGGCAGTCTTTGCGGCATGCTATGAGCAGTATCTCATGGCAGGCACGTCAAGAGACCGTTCCCATTCAGCCCCGCTCGAGTCGAGATGCCAAACTTGGAATACACCGGACCAACCTGAGCCTGGGACTTCTCTCACCGAGTAGTGCCAGCTGGCCTACCACGGTTGGGCCAACTGTTCTAAAGGACCAGCTCATCGGCAAAGAGTGCTGAGCTCGCAGCAAGGACGATGGAGACGAGAAGCTTGAGAGCTTCGCCTGCAAACCTCAATCTCATGGACATGCCATGCACAGCTCCTCGTAGAATACTTGCTCACAGCTTTGCAGGCTCACCGTTCAGAAGGGTTCAAGAAACGCCAGTGCCACCAAAGACACGACTGAACCAAACAAGAAAGAGCTGAGCCTCTAGAAGAGCCCAGCTCCCGAGCAAAACAAGCAACAACCTTAACATCCCAACAGGCCTAGACCCCCCAACTACCCTCTAATATACCCTAAATACCAACTATTAAGGGCCATAAGGACTATATTAAAGGGCCCTTGGGGGGTCCTGGGGTGCCTGAAGCCTTCAGCCACGGCTTAGGCACGTGCACGGCTGTTGTGACCAGGTAAAGCTCCCGGGCCTGCAAACACCAAGAGTCACAAGCCTGAGAAGCACCTTCCCTCGGAATCACCTAATGTAGCCTTAAGAAAGTTACCTATGGTTTCTACATATATATATATATGAGAAAGAGAGAGAGAGAGTATAATATACCCCGAAACCCTGTTCTTATTAAGGCCCCTATATTACATCTCGGCCTCCCCTTGTGGCTTGGGCAGCCTGGAGTAGCGCATGCACAGCGCCAGAGCCTTCAACTGCTCAGAGCTTTTACGGTCTGCTAGCATACGGAGCCTGATCTTGTCCGGCTTAACCCAAGTTTGAGCAAACCGAACTAGAAAAAAACGAAGGCCCCTCAAAATCTAATGCCATGTCAAAATGCATCCGGAGCCTTCCCGACACCCCGGGTCTCCGATTTGTGGAGATTTGAGAGGAGTTTACCTCCCTTATTCTGACAGGCTTACGTGTGGCTAAATTGGGTACAGGTCAGCAATAAGTGTTGGCTCTTTAAGGTTTAGAACCTAGAAGGAATTCGCAGTTCCGACCGGTCGCAACACATGCCGCACAGCTGAAGAAACTGAATCATATTCGATTTCTCTGGGTGCAGGACCGTGTTCTGAAAGACCACCTCCGGAAAAAAGGCTGTGAGTCGGAGGCTGGTTCTGTGATTCGGTACATCCCGACTTGACACGCTGCTGCTACGGACAACGCCATAGAAATCTTGGAATGAAAATCACACCTTCGTAATGAACCGGTGGCCAGCTCTCTCACCGTCTCCCACCGGCCCAGCCCGGAAACAATACATTCCGCAAGTCCGACATCTCTGAAGCTTTCGATGCCAAACAGCCAGGATTCAGCAAAGCATCACCAGAGAGATGCACGGGTCTTGACCCTCTACTTCCACTGCAACACTACAAAGGTGCAAGACTGAGCTCATTCTCTGGAAAATCCCCGTGCCGGCCGTCGTCAGCGAAGCACGTCGGAGCCAAAATGAAGTCTCGTTCCCCATTTGGGGTAAAGGAGGACCTGCAGGCACTGTGTCGTCGAGAAACTTGCTGACTGCCGCGATGCTTTTCTTTCCCTTCAGTATAGCATCCGGGACACTGACAGACAGAGCATCGCAAATGTAGCTGTGGTTGCACAAGCACTGGAGCAACAAGGCCTACAAAGTGTCACAGGCCAGCACTGGACACTCACTGACTAATCCCGCCAACACATGCTCAAAAACATCCGGCCGAAAGCACGAGATCCCTGCGTGACTGCATGCCATGACTTGAGCAAGCAAATGCAAGCAATGTCGCGGACTCCAGCCCCCAAGCGGCCCAAGCGCCCCTACCTTGGTCTTGACCAGTCACCTCCCGCAGCTCCGTTGCCTGCAACCGAATGCATGCTCAACCTCTGGGACAGGGTGGTTCATGACGAGCAGGGGTTGGACAGCATATGTGGCAAACTCCAACATCTAATTTTTCGGTGCGGAATGTATCAATGCTACTAAAACCAATGGTGGCCAAGCCGTGCAACTTCTGCAGTTCTGCATGGCCTCCTTGCATTTTGAATCCATCCCAGTCTGCAGGCAAACATGTCTCCTGCTAAAATCCGTGAGCGAAGGTGGCGGCGGCAAGAATCAATGAGATGGCGGCCATGGGCATATCCCAAGATCTCGCTCAAGTGACTGCCTAGCATGCCAGAGCAAGCCAGCACGCACTGTGCAATGATCAAACCTTGCTGGCTTTTTACCGACAACACCTGGAGTAGCCGCGATTGCTGACCACTTACTATGGTACCTTTCTGCAGGTACGAGCATGTACAGCAGCCGGCTGAGGAGCTTTGGTCTATGCAAGTTAAAATTATTCCGAGATAATGATGGCAGCCCTTGAACAATGGCTGCCAGATCCCGATATGTATGTATGCATATATGCACACACACACACGCACATCTACATATGTATATATATATATGTATGTATGTATGTATGTATGTATGTATGTATGTATGTATGTATGGAGATGCACATACAAATATATGCACATACATATATTATATATATATATATATGTTAATTTATGTGTGTATGTGTATACATAACTACATCTATATATATATATATATACAAACACATACATACATACATACATACATACATACATACATACATACATACATACATACATACACATATGTATATATATATATATATGTACATCTTGTTTTTCTATGCATACACATGATGTACAAACTGTTCATACATGTTCCTATATACATATGTACGTATATGTGTGTGGGCAGAGAGATAGAGAGAGAGAGAGAGGGGAGCGAGCGAGCGAGGGCTTGTCCTCAAATACAGAATGTCTCAAAGACTCCCCGTGCGTCGGGTCGCCGAGCCGGCGTTTCACTAACTCGCTACTGAGGGTCCAGCTCCTCACCTACCCAAGGTCTCTTGAAGGCTTAGTGTATATGACGCTGCATGGCTAGATTCCACAGATGCGTTGCCGGCATTTCGCAAAAAGGTGGGGTGCTGGGCCCCTGACAGCTCCCTCCCTGAGGATGGATTTCCGAGCACACCGAGGCTCCCTTACAATGCCTTACAATGGCTTGACTCGCCGAATCACTGGGAACCTCATGTGTGTCCCGGAAGGCTGCAGGAAGCGGCGCAGGGGACACCAGCAGGTCTCTCAGCCGTAAATGATTCGGGACTTCAGAAGATTCACCGCAAAAAGCTTCGCAGGCAGAACCTCGATGAAAGCGACTGTCTTGCCAACTCAATGTGATACTGGTAGTTGAGAATTTGCGGTGAGAGCCCTGCCAATTTCTATCTACGACAATGTGCCCCCGCAGCCCGTGTCTTAACTGTGGGAACGCGGGTGAAACATGCCCCCTAGCAGAAAAAATGTTCTCAGAAAGCCACGGCGACTGCCACACCACCAGCAGCAAAGCCAGCCCTTCGCTGCAAAAGCCTTTCTCCTGTGAGGTTCGGGTGGCCACACGGCAACCGTTTGGGTTCTCTGCAGGCCCGGAAGAGCCATTTGCTGGATCCGGGATCCTCCCGCATTTGGGGTGGACCGAGTGTCTATGTATACTACGGACCCCCCAAGTGTCCATGTGTCACAACAACTCTTGAAACCTGATTTCTGCTTTGGTTCAAGTCGTACATGGACCGCTGTGAGGGGAAACAAGAAGGCTGCCGAAGAGCGCACTGCAGTTCTGCATGGATTCTGCGGCTGGCGAGCTGCCAGAATTATCGTCTCTCTTCGGCATGCAACATGTACATCACTGCGTGTCACACGCAGCATCTGGTCGCCTCATTTCTCGCATCCTGCAGCACATATGGCGCCAATTTCCCAATCAATGCTCCCCTCATGCCGTCGGGTGCTAAAGTGCCACCTGTGACGTAGGCAAGAGTAATTGTCCAACAGTTGACCAATGCAAAAAGAGAAGTGCTCGCACACGGCACGACTTCCTGACCAAAGCCCGGGCCTTTCATTGTCGGTCTCTCCCATCTTCCGGCTCATAGCCGAAACACTACCAAAAACTCACGGTCCTCTGGGGTAAGCCCTCCTTCTCCTTGCCCTTCTGGCGTTCTGCAACAGCCTTACGTGCAAGCATGGAAGCTTCTTGAGCGGATGTTAACATGGGCATGGCACATTCATGAAGCCACCCTTTTCGACATGTTAGGCGCGCCACGTGCTTGGCTATTGTAATAGAGCCAGATCTCTCCTTGCAACTTGCAACAGAAGCCGAATCGCAAGGCGCGCAAGGTCATGCGGTTCACACGCTTACATGTTAAGTTTGGAGCACTGGTATCGCACCACCTGGCATTGCTACACGCATCGAGAACTACTGCTTTACATGTAAATTGCTGTTATAACTAGTTTAGCCGATAGCTGCGCCCTTCTTACAGATGCATGTTCTGAAGCCCAATTGTTCCCTGACATCGCTGATTTGCAAACCCTCAGCTTTCGAAACCGCTTCGCACGACGCTTCAGTGGTCAAGTGCTGATCCCAAGCGCGAAACCTCAAGATCCCAACATGAGCGCTCGACTCTTGACATCAAGCTCAAGGTCCTACTACAACATACTACAACCTTTCCTGGATCCCGAAAACGTCGGAATTGGTCCTCCTTTCTGCCTTGCGCGGGCTCCATGGATTGGCTCCTGGATTGCTGTCCATACTACAAGCTCGTGCTCCCGAAACAGGGATAGAGCACCACAGCGACCACGGCGACAGGAGACACGGGAGATCGGAAGATTCGGGCTTTTGGGCCACAAGTGCGTGACTTCTTGCCACCAGGACACGCGCGGACGTAATGGCTGGGACGTCGACGCCATGTCCCTTCCTCCTGCTGCTGTTTCAGAATACACTCTGAACGTCAGAGAAAAGCAGGATTCGTGTGTTGCTATACTTTGGTACCAGTGCAGGAGCAGATCCCGACACGAACTCACTTCGGCACGCCATGGCCTATCATCTGCTTTCTGAGCAAGGAGCTTTGAGGCAGACCCCCCATGCGTCCTCAGCCAAGTCGTCCACTCCCCTCACAGGCATTCGAGCGCTACGAAAGGCTTCTTGCAAGGGTTGCATGCACGGCTCGGGCACGGGACGGGCAGCAAGCACACAGCTGTTTAAAACAATGAAGACTCCTCTCGACAAGCACGACACAACTGAGGTCTCCGGGCACAGATGGTATGGCTGAGATGGCTCATCCCACATAACGATGATTCAAGACATGGCTGGAATCCGCGGCTGGAAACTGTTCCATCGACGTACCTTAATTTCAAGCCCCCCGGATGTCGAACATGATGTTCGGCACGTGACTTTGCGAGCCAAACCTGCGACAACAATCTCACCCCAAGAAGAAAATTAAGCATCCATGGGATTCCATTCTACATCTGCGGTGAATATCAGTAGAAGCGAGTTGTCAAAGTCCTGCCTGCGCAGATTGACCGTAGAAGACCTCGCACCCGACTCGCCGCCTTCCCTGCAGGCAAGGCGAATTGCACAGCAGCCGACTTTGTCAGAACAAGGCTTCTGGGTACTTACATCTTACATGACTTATACATTCATTCTTTTGTTTGTGACTCCAGGATACAAATTCCCTCCCTCGCTCTCCTCGGCCCGAACCTCGCTAGCAAGGGCTCTACCTGGGCCCAAGAATGAAGAATGAAGGGTTCGCCCGAAAACTCTCTGTCGCTCTCACAATCTTCTTCGTCCTCGTCTTCTTCGGAGTCTTTTTTGTCTTCTCTCCACAAGGTTCTTTCGGCGGGACTACGGGCACCCGGTCTCACTCAGGTACTTGAATATATGCATATAGGGAACAATCACTAAACCTCTCTTGCTCTCTGGCCGCCTCGTTGCGTTGTGATGTCTCCACGTTCACACGACGCCCTCACTCGCAACGATGAGTCACAGACTCTCGCATGGTGGCAGCAGACCTCGGCAGCAGTCGCCTTTGCCCCTGCCGCTGGACTTTGTGCCGGTCCTGCGCAGCAAGCGAATGCAAACGGTCGCTCGAGGCTCCTGACCTTGCGCTCTACACCCTGGGCAAATTCAGCGTCCGCGCCAAGAACCTGGGCCCAATGAGATTGGGCCTGGCCCGTGGATTGCCGACGCAGCCGCGATTTTCACGGCAGGTCAACTCACTGTCGCATGCATACGACCACGCAAACAAAGGGGTCCACATGCGCATACTCACACGGGAGGCTTCTGGTTGGTCGTGGACTGTGGACAAAAAGCATGGAAAGCATCACGGTTGTTCCGCAGTTTCGCCATGAGTCAAGGCAGTAGCTGGTTGCTGCAGGCACTCACTGAAGACTTGCTTGAACATAATATTCACTGCTTCGCGTGGCCAAGACCGGCTACAACAAGCCAGGAAGCACTACATATTGCCTATATTGCTATTGACAGTCCTTCTGCTTAGCCAGCTTGGGCTCATGCCCACCATCGTTAACCTTGGCCATCATAGTCCAAACATCTCTGACAAGAGCTCTGGCGTGGTGCAAACCGATGCAAATCGAGCGGAGGCAGAATGAAATGTTCAGCGCGCTGTCGAGGATGTGGCTGTTCACTTGCAAGGACCACATCTCTGCGTGCACATACACTTACACCGAAATTCTGGCAACTAACCCAGCTCGTTTTTCACATCACTCCCCTGCCATGTTTGCCTTACCTTGCCACTTCCTCCGCTCTGCTCAGGATCTCGTGCTATCTGCTATCGGCTCAGGCTCAGAGTCGAGAGGCCAGGTGGCAGTCCTGGGCTCTGGCTCTGGAGCTCCGTTTTGTTTTGGAAGTGCTAGCCGTAGGCCGCTAGAGAGCTCCCCAGGGTGTGGGATGCCTGGGCTCCAGGGCCCTTCGTCCATGCCAAGGATCTCTTTGGACCGCAGCTTTCCGTAGAAAATGCACACCTTCAGCCGGCGATACGTCAGAGTGCGGCTGTTTGTTTTCCACTTCCCAAAGCGCCTTCTCACAGTGGCTTTTGTGCTCTGAAGGCTCGCAGAGATCACGGAGCTCCTCCTGAGCTCTGAATGAGGCGCGGGATTCAACCTTTCTGAGCCGAAGTCATGACAACAGTCGGCCGAGTCTCGAAGATGTTCACCAAGGACGGATGCAGGCCTCGGGACATCGAGCCGGGCTTCCAGTACCGTTCCAGACGTCTTGTCAACCAGCAATCAGGGTCCCAAAGCCGCCCCAGCTCACTGGACCGGAGAGCCTTGCCAATCCCCGACTTGGGCAACTCGCAAAAAGCCACCAAGGAACGTGGAAGGAGCGTCCTGGCTGCAGCAAGCCTGGGAGGTGCACTATGTGTGGCCGTAACCCAATATTTCAAAGGCATGCACACCAGCACAGCGTTTCGCATACGACTGTAAACATGCAATCCATGCTATACCGATTACATGGTACGAGTCACGTCTGGCCAGCTGGATTCTCTGAGCTGCCACTGACACAGACTCTTTGTCAGTTATGCATCTGAAAGGGTTTCAGATACATGCAGAATTGCGCCAAGTACCAAGCTAGCCGGGCTACAACACTCGGTCTGGAGGGTCGTAGATGAGCTTTTTGCACACGAGACGAACCACATGGCATCTCTTACACAACAGCCCCAGTTTCAGCAGGACCCTTCTTTTTTGCTTCCGGCCTTGGGAAGTAGAACCTCCCTGCAGACTCGCCGAGCTGCTGGGCCCCAAACAGCTGCTTGCGCTGTGCCAGGGAAAGGCCGGGTCGATGAAGCACCTGGGAAGGCAAGAACGGAGGAGATGCAAGCATCGAAATCAGAGCAGTGTTCCACTCACATGAAGCAACATACGTGCAAGTGCTATCGGCTTTCGTTTTCGTGGGAACGCTGGGGGAGTCAGAGCAGTACTTATAGCAAAAAAGCCGGCGGTACTGCACCAGCCGCTTCAACTGCATGAGAACACACAGTTGCAACGAGAACGGCACGGTCGAAGTTGCCGCTAAACGATTGCAATGCATTTTCCCATCCGCACGACAAGTGCGGTGCAAGGACATGGACCATATCCTCATCATCACCAACAACAACATCAACATCACCATTCTCGTGGCTATCACCCTTTCGATGCACCAGCGAAAAAATCCAATGTCCGGGGTTTCCGATAATTGGGGACCCTAATAGAGTACCCTAAGTAGTAGGATCCTTATTATATATACGCCCCCAAAATAAGGTTCGCCTGATCCCCTATAAATCCCCATAGATCCCTCTAAAGAACCCTTATGTCGGAACCACCTATCCGGATCAGAGGCGCGGCTTGGCGGGCTCGAAACAGACGCCTGCAGGCCTCGGGTTCCTGGGGCAAAAGGGGCCCGGCGGCGGCCCAAGACAAAGGCTGCCTATATCTATCCAGGTATCTGTCTACAGCATCTTCTTATCTACTAGTGTACCTGATAAGATCTAAACTATCTGGTATGTATATATATATATACACACCGATTCTGTCTTCTCTATCTCTTCTACGCATCCTATCTATCTGTCGACCTCTCTATCTGTCAAGCAGATAGCTAGATAGATGGCTGGCTCGATGGATGGAGAGATAGGTTAGGTGGGTATATAGGTAGCAGCAAGACAGAAAACAAGTGGATAAATAGATAGATTGATAGACAGAGAGCGAGAGGGATAGATCTTCCTTGTGCAAAGTTGTGCGGAACAGTTCTTGTGCATCGGCAATGCAATACGAGTACGAGGTATAGAAAAGAATGCTTTGGCCTCGCCACGTCTGATACAGGATGGGCTATCGCACTCAGGCAGAAATGCCAACATTGGTTTCGAATTTGAAGGCATCGCTCAAACCCAAGCATACATTACATAATCAACATACGGGCAGCAACCCTCTAGTCGGCCTCCACCTGCTGCAGCAACCTGTCCAGCGGCTCCTGGGATACTAGTGGCAAGGAGCTTGGGCTGAATCCTGGGCGATGTGGAACTCTTCAAAGAGTAGTGAGCGAGTTTAACCACCTAGCAAAATCTGAAGAACAACTGACTGTATGCTGGACTGTTGCCGAGCAAAAATGCACACACGCACACACAATCACACATCTCTCGCACACAATGCCGATTGAAAATGACGAGGACTATGCATCTGCGCGCTGGAAACAATCTGTGCGCATTCTGTGTATCATGTTGCTGGATAGCACCTTTGGCCACGACTGCGTGTACTTAAAGCTGCTGACACCATCACAATGCCGCTTGTCGGAGTACCCCCTACATCAAGTTCTACAACAAGAGTGTGGACCTTCAGAAACAACGTTTGATTTAGTTGGGTCCTCCGCGTCTGCCTCCCAGTCACTCTGCTCGTCCAGATGTTTCTCCTGCAGCTTGGCACTAGTAGCAGTTTCGGGGCTTACCCGAACAGTCGGTGCACAACGTACTTTTTCACGCATGTGATAGACCCTCAAACAAACAGACCAACAGACAGACAAACAGACCGGCAGACAAACATAGATACCTATGCATGCAGACCTGAACCCTGAAATCATGCATTGCACGAAAACCTGTATATGTACAAGAATGCTTCTCCAAGCAAAAGCCACAAAAGCAAAACGAATGGGACACTGACAAGTTACGAGCATACAACAGAATGAAACTGCATTATACGTAAAAGCACAAACGGACTTACGGATCCCGAAAATTCACGTTGCGGCCATGATTTCAGCTGTCGGTCCTCAATGCACCTGGCACACCGGCATACGAAACTCCAATTTCTCATCAAAAGCTGCTGTCGCTCCTGGAAGGGTACCTTGGCAGCATCAGACGATCAAAAGACTTGACAACACACGAGAGAAGTGACTAAGAAGTGATAAAAACGAGCCCGGGCCAAGGGAAGGAGCCGAAGCCTTGGCCTTCCTTCAGGGTTTTCGGCCATTTATGGCTCAAGTCTGGGGACCCAGAACCTTTCAGACTATCTGCCTGATGGCTTCGAAACTCAAGCTGAGCATAGAGCATGGCGAATGCTTTACTCGATTCTGACCGCGAAGGTCTGTTGCCTCCCGCCTTGCTAGGAGGAATCTGGTTCAGAACCCTTTGCAAGCCGAGCGGCGAACAGGTAGTCTGAGTTGTAGCTGTACACGATCCTTGGGTGGCCGTGGACTGACGTCTGAGCAAGACATTCCGCCGGTCAGACCCAACAACTCGTGAGCAGACTTCTGGGCTTAATTAGGCGCATCATAATGCAGCAGAGAGTCTCCGTCCCCGGCAGTATTGGCGTCTCTGAGACAGCGACCATGGCAAAGTTGCACTCCTCTGCCATATCGAGAAATGCGCTCACGAATTTGAACATCGCCAACCTTTATGAACTTCCCACAGCCCAAACAAAGCCACAAAGGTCGTGGACACAAGCAGGCATCAGAGCACCTCAACCATGCCGATGCGGGTGATGGCTGCATTCGGGGCGCAGCTGTGGTTGAAAAGCGCCATAACAGGCAGCAGACAGCTGCCCTCGGATTCAAAGCAGTTAAAGCGCACCTTGGAGTACCTGAGCCGCACAAGCCCTGGGCCAAGCCGCACTGTTGCATGGGTGCTCGACTTTTTTCAAAGTGCGTCTGAGCCACACATCGGCCCATTCCTGCGCAATCTCAGGGATCGGAACCGTTATGATATGTCAGACCCATGTCATCACCCTTTCAGCCGAGTTGGACCCGAAATTCTTCTACCAGTGCCACCAGATCAGATATCACCGGCTTATCCGGCTTGCAGCCTGGTCCGTAACACCGTCGGGCAATGCACCGTCCCAACCTGCAGGGTGAGCTGAGACCGCTGAGAGCCCAGCAGAAAAAAAAACTCCCGGCCTTGCAAATGGCACAAAGGTCCTGTGTAGAGGTGCGAAATCTTTGCGCACATCTGCAGGCAGCGGGTCCATGAAGCAACAGATTAATGCTGGACCGGAAGACTTGCTCATCATGGCACGCCTCCCTGCAGTCGATCACAGCTTTGGCCAATCGCTCGGGAGTTCTTGCACGCAAGCCTTTCTCTTTCCACACGACCTCCTAAGTCTCCGGGTCTTTAGCCAACATCTTCAGCAGATACTATGGTTATAACTTCCAACATCGAAAGTAGTTCTGGAAGGTGCTTTCTGATAAAATCAACTCATTGGCTCCAGGCATCGCCGCAGTTGAACTGGCGTGCGGCGACAAGGCCCCGGCCTCAGCATTTTCGGAAACCTATAGAGGAGAATGAACAAGTTCCCACCATCAATTGAACTGATTGGGTTGTAGGCTCATGATTTAAATCACTTTGGATTAGTTTCGCTCGCAACCTTTTCAGCTGTCACTGATGGAGTCGGACTCTTCACTGCCGAAGTTTTGCTCGCTTCACACCACGAGCTGTGCATCGTCGAGACGGACTTTCTTGACAAAGACCATGAGGTGCCCACCATCAGCCTGCAGGCTCGCCGTCAGTGAAGCTGTGATGTCTGGAAGCTGCCTCTTCGACCACAGGTCATGCACGGACAGGCGGTCAGTGGCAGCAAATCCCAAAGACGCAAAGCAAGTCTGATCACATGTCAGGTTCTGCTGTTGATGGCCGACGTTCAGAAATACCAAGGCAGCCCCTTCCGACAACGGACGGCCCCAGATGTTGCCAGTGGAACGTCCGTCTGCTAATGAGCTCCCATACAAGCGTCGCCCTGGCTGTCCAAGTTGATCTTGGCTGACGGCGATGACCTCTTTGTTGCTGTAGGTTGCGAGTGTCTCTGCACTCATGTTCAATATGCTACCACTGATCAAGAGCGGTGCCGCCAAAACAGCCCACATGGAAAACTGTGCGCGCGATTGCAGTTCTGAAACACGACTCGCACCTGTCCACTGTCTGCTGAGAAGCAGGCACGGATCATTCCAGCCACCTGGGCCTGCGAATTTGTCCAAGCCGTTCATTGAATCGATATTCTTCAGAACGCCGGGCCAATTTGTATCATCTGGGCCGATACGCCAGCTATTACCTAGCAGCTTACCCATGGGTGCATACCAGGTGCTCCAGCCACACAAGCTAAACAGAACAGGACGCCCAGTCGCGTTAAGGGCATCACGCATCCGGCCGTACTCTGCGAAAGCAGTTTCATGGTTTGAAGGCGCATTGCAAGAGTCCTCTTTCAGATAATCAACCCCCCATTCGGCATAGGTCTTGGCATCAATATCTTCGTGGTTGGCGGCACCTGGGCGACCAGCACATGTTGCACTGCCTCTGTCGGTGTAAGTGCCAAACAGCAAGCCCTTGCTGTGAACATAGTCCGCCAACGGCTTCAAGGTGCCACTGGGGAACTTGGCCGGATCCGCATAGACAGTGCCATCTGGGTGCCGTCCCTTGGCCCAGCAGTCATCCAGATTCAGGTACTTGTAACCGAGATCCCGGAGACCTGTCGACACCAAAGCATCAGCTATCTGCCGCAGGGTGGTCTCGTTCATGGAGTCAGAGCACTCCAAGTCATACCAAGAATTGTAGCCCATTTGTGGCGTGCGAGCCAAGCCATTCTCCAGCGCCTGTGCGCTGATGCAGCACCATGCCAAAAGCAGAGCTCCCAGTCTTTGCTGGAAGCCCATGGTGCCGAGAGCTTTGTAGATTTAGGTTTAAGTAGCCTCCCTCGATCCAAAGAAACTGGGCACACAAAGAATGAAACCGTCCCCCTGCCCTGATCTTGTCCATTATACCTCAATCGCACAAACTAGGTTATGCAGTGACTCGCCCACTGTTCCACTGAATTTGCCATTGCAGTGGGTCAAGCTTCCACGTTTCTGCCACGGGCAGGAATTTCAAGCGTTGCGTGCTAGCAGCAATTTACTGTTGGCTGAACGACCTACCAACCACGAAATTTTGTAAGGCCAGCTACCACAAGATGCTGAAATGCGTCGCCTTGCCGACAAGCAAAGCTTCCCTCAAGACCTGGCCTCACCAAGGCATGAGCATTGCTTCCGAGCCCCCGGCCAGCACGCCCGACGCTTTGAAGGGCCAGCCCAGCTTCCGCCAATGTGTCGGCTAATGTCGCCATGGGAGCGCATCGGAGTGCCGGTGTCCCCAGAGTCCCATGCTTGGGGGTGCTTGCATGACAATTCTGACGGAAAGCCTTCACATGAATGCGCTCAAGTTTTTCAGCCGCAACGAGTAGTCTGCAGGCAGGTCCTCTCAAGAGAGAGAAATCCTGTGACTGGCCATCTGCGCATGAGCTGCTACACTGTGCCCGCTCAGCACCGGTAGCTTGAAGTAGCACGGGAGCTCCAAAAACATACAACCCATCACTGCATGCCACAAACCCAACAGACAACGCATCATGGCACAAAAAGCTAGCGCTTATTATAGTTTGCACTTGTCATGAACCTCTAACTAAATACCTATATCTTCACCAATCCATATGCCACGAAACCTGGCTCAGGTGTGGAAACCCCGTGACACGCATGAACCCAGGACCCCAAATCCTCGAGTCGATGACTGAGAAGAGACAATGGAAAAGATCAGAATCAGCAGCAACATCCAGACCCTCGCAAGACTCGGGGCCATGCCATGAAAGAGTTGGGGGACAGCACCTTCACGACGCCCTGCCAGTCAAGTCAACCCAAGCTCCCGCTTCGACTCACACACGCACAAGGTAGGCCGGCGACATCCGCACGTTGATAACAACTGCCGAACAGATGTGGATGTGCAGAAGTCACCCTGCTAAGCCCACGCGCACTACACGCAAGCGGAATGCACATGATGAACACGCGCTGAAGGTGACTGCAGAGTTCTCATACCTTGAGCTGCACAGTGTGAGCACAAACGGCCTGCACCAAGTGAGTCTTGGGGGAACTACGCAGCTCCGATGTTGATCTGGTTCCTGGAGGTGACAAAGATCTGCCGGAAGCGACAAAGACCAGGCATGACGCTCTCCAGTGACTCGTGCGAAAAGGTTTTAGATTTCGCGAGTTTTGGCACTTTTCGAGGTTTTGCTCCTTTGGTACTTCTCAGTTCGGTTTCGGGACTTCGTTGGTCTTGGGGTCTCCATCGAACTTACTTTGTGTCCGGTGGGAGGGGGTGGTAACTTTCCGGATATGGGCATATGATATGATATGGCGATGGTGACCACGACGACCATGATGTTGATAGTTTTGGTGACGATGATGATGATGATGGTGCTGATGATGATGGTTTTTTGGTCAGGGTTTTTAGCTGGCCATGCACCGCGGCACGAGTGCTGCAGGATTGTCAGGTGCTTGCTGGGGACTTTTGAGAGGGGGGGGGATGATAATATCGTGTTGGAAGCCTGTTGTTTGCAGCGCCATGGTTTGTCCTAGAGGACATGTCAGAAGCTCAGTCGGTTGGGCCCTTCGCGTGCTGGACCCATGCAGTCTTTCAGGGGCATACGCCGTGTCATTTGCACTTTCCTGGCCCTGGTCATAACTCTTCGCTGCCATGCGCCTTCGACATGAAGGAGCTTTTTTGCTCCTCTAGAAACTAAACCGCCCGTCCTGACTATAGACGAGTGTGATCAGCCCCTGACGATTCTGCTCATTCTTTCCACTTGCTTGCGTATGTCTCGCCACGCTTCTCTCTCAGGCAGCTTGACTGCACAAACTGCACAAGAGATTGGCTTCCCAATACCTCCAGCGTAGTGCCGCGCGGCAAACGACTTACAGACTTGTACTTTTAACAACTGTGCCGAGTAGTTGCCGCCACCCTACGATTTTAGGTCCCCACCCGCCTGCTTGCAACTGCGTCATTGCGCGCCTTGTTGTTTATCAAGTTGCGATATCAACTCAGTACGTTCGCTAAACGCGTGCGATTCAAACGCTCCAACCACTGTAAAACGCAAACGCACCATTCTATGTGACCCGTTGCGAGGACCGCGCTTTTCCCGATAACGAGTATCCAGAGCAAACAGAACATGTGCTGACAGCACAGCTTCGCGCATTTCCGAACCACAAGCACCAAAGAGCATGGCTTGATTCAAGCCGACTGTCCTCCGAAGAAGGCACCAGGGTCCGAGCCTTGGAATCAACCGAGCCCCCCCACTTCCTATACACAAGCTGATTTTTTTCACAAGGGACTCGTCTGCTGCCCTCACTGCCCTGCACAAGCAGATTACAACAGGTTAACTTTAAAGTGTCAGTGAAGGTGAAGGCAATACTAGGAGCAACGAGGAGCATCCGGCCATTACACCTCAAAGCAGTCACTAAGGCAGGACAGAAGTACGGACTTCGAAAACATCCTAAACCTCTTATGCTGCCACCTGGTGCAACTTGCGATTACATGCTTGGCTCACATGTGTCCGGTCCTTCGGCCTCAAGACAAACCCGCGTCCATGCTAAGCCGTGATACCCTCCGACACCGATAATTATGAAAACCAGGCCCAACTCCCAAATCATGGCAACCTGAGAGGGCTGGACCTTCGCTATTGTCTCCATTTGGCTACGTGCTATATCGACATGTGCTCCATGTAGTCAGCCTATAGTCGATCACCCCCAGTTCCATATTAGGCTTGGACATGTCTATGCACTGTGACATGATCATGACCGCTAGCGATCCTTTAATTACTTGTTTATGCCATTTGCATGCCTGCCTGCGTCCGAAATCACGGTATGTAGTTAATGGTGCAAACTAGAAAAGATCCCTTCATTTTTTCATCCGGGACACTGCTGCTGTTTGCAGTTCCTGCAGAGGGCAATATGAAGCAGAAACACAAAGCACCGTGACAGCAACTTCAGATTTGGCTGGTGATGGCCTAATGAAGCCCTCGGTATCTGTTCTTCATCGGATTTCGGCTCTCACACTTTGCTGGACGGAAGATCGATGTGTTCTTCCAGCGAGTCAGGCGTAAGCGCTTTCTATGGTGTAGCATGTGGGCGACTTTCTCTGCTGTCGACTATAAGTTAATTTGAGGGTCCTTTCTTGGCCCTTCGTGAGACCAAGATCGCTGCCGGCACGAGACCTGAACAATGCCTGCACCCCAGGCCTTTGCCAAAAGACACCTGCGTGCGGTCCTTTCAAAATCCGAAAGCATGAAACAGTACGACTGGCCCATCCGTGCCAGTGCTCCCAAACACGAACAGCATGACCGCATCATCGATCGTATCATATCGTAACCAGGACAAGTCTACGCCGGAATTCGTATGACATGTCGTGAACAGAACGATGCACAGCTCTATAGCTCTCCACGGCCCGAAGATGTGCTCGGCCTGAAAGGTTTCGTTTGTGGAATAATGCCTTCCCACTGGGCTTTATACACCCAGAGTTTGTACAGTATTTTACCGTCATTCAATTCGCAAGCACATGATCATGCAGAACACTTGCCCAGGACTTCTCAGACACGACTCGGCCGTCGAATTTCTGCGTCCAAGCTGTTGCTTATAAGACTGTTCCGATGTGCCAGGCATTGCCAAGCAGGGGACGACAAGACGGAGAATGGCACAGCACTTGTCATGTTCGCAGGATGACGCCGCCACTGGGCAAATAAGACCTCCCCATGCACCAACGAAATAGTCTCTCACTGCTCAAAGAATATTTCAGAGCGGTTTGCTTGTACTTGTTGTTCAACCATTGTGGAACTTAGGGGTTGATTGGTGCATTGGAGCATGCCAGATTATGTCAGCTTCCACCCTGCAACCCGACCGAGCCTTTTCCCGACAAGGCCCCATCCTAAACTGGAGCCTAAGACATGGCCTACACATCCTGTCATATCCTGTCCTAGCAGCTGTCCCCCGGTGGGCGATTCCAGCGAAGCTCGCGAGCGGGTGTCCGATGTGGCCTGGGCAACGCGCTCCACAAGTGAAAACGAATCACGATCAGCATCGTCTTGCGTTTCACCTTCACATCCTTCACTTTCATATTACTGGGCATGATCGCAACCGATGCCGTCGTGAATGTAAACAGTATGTCAGACAGCAGGCATGATGACGCCGATGATGGTTGACGGACAAGAAAATGAGAATTTGGTTGCCCCAGGCGTTGCTGAACGAATCGCGAGGCAGGGTTCGAAGGCACATTCCAGGGAGTTCATAATATATAGATAGATAGATAGATAGATAGATAGATAGATAGATAGATATACATAGATATATAGCATGAGGGAAGCATGTCTTGGGATTTTCGCCAGGATTGAGGTTGAGCGCACTCCTCAGCGATAAATTGTCATCGCATCTTTCTGCTCGAAGGGGAACTGCCCAAAATGCCATAAGCCACAAAGAGATATAGCGATGGTGATTATGATGCTGAAGCTGCTGCTGATGGTGGTGGCGGTGATACGAATCAAGGCAAAAAGTCCTCAATTCACAACTCCGAAATCTTGCCCTCAGAGGAGGCAGCTGAGGTGGCAGTGAAAGCCTTTGAAGCACGGACCAGGCCCACTGGAACGCCCAGCTCGAATCCTGTGCAGACGGCATGCCATTGTTGCACAGAGTTGCAGCAGGCGTGTGTGTTGATCTTACTTTAGACATCTTTACACTTTAGATACAGCCTGCTTCAAGCCCTGCTGCTACTGCCCTTCCCGTAAAATTTAGCCAAACACCTCCTTATCGCAAAGTCTCCCCAAGATGCTGAAGAGGTGCAGTATTGCAAATGCCTAAATCCCGAAGATGGCTTTGAACCAGTATTTGGCTGTTCGACAGAACTATGTGGGAGCTAGTGGTGCGGAGAGTTCATGGTGCCTGCCATGGGCAGACCCGTACAAAGCAAGCTTAAGCGGCCGAACCTTATGTGAGCCACTGCTCTCTGGTTCAGGTTTCTTTCCAAAACCGCACAGAAGATCCACCAGAACTCAACGTCAATCACCGTCCACGTGCCCTGGCAGCTTCAGGCCGCTTTTTCAGGTAGCACCTCTACGAAACTTTTTCTCCTATGCAGCCAACCAAGACCACAACACGATGTCGGAGCCTAGACACCAGCTTCTTCCTTCGCCCCTTCTGTTCGTGAAGTGTCTACGCCTCGGGCCTGCGCTGGAGGGCCGGGCGGTGCTTGTGGAGGTGGAGGCACGGAGCTCGTCACGCTGCCGACGTGCCTTGGAGACAGTGAAGCAGTGAAGCATCCGAAAGGCTCACGATTCTGGTGCGGTTATGTGCGGCTCAGAAACTTTGTTTGCATTTGAGTTTCTTCGGTCGTTTGGGCGATCGCCGCCGAAGTAGCCGAGGGACGATATGAAGATTATTCAAACATCCCGTATACGTGCATACAAATAAAAATGTGTGTATTTATGTGTCTGTATAATATATATATATATACATGTGTGTGTGGTCGGTATACCACAACCATACATACACACATAAACACATACATACATACGTACATACATACATACAGACATACAGACAGACAGACAGACAGACAGACAGACAGACAGACAGACAGAAAGACAGACAGACATACACACCGGGGGTCTGTATGTAACTTTAGTACTTTTGACACGTTGCCATCAGAAACTCAACTCACTACTTTATATATTGGTTGCTCCTGAACGTCTTGATCACGTACTGTCTGCAATGTTCAACCGCAGATCGCTGGCTGTCCGGTGCTTAAAAAGTTTAGAAGCGTCGGCTTTCGATGCTCCAATATGCTCCAATGCTACTGGCGAGGCAGCTACTGAAGTTTGAGTCAAGGAACAGCCACCACTTGCGCTTCCAGCTCGGCCACTTGGACCTGGCATCCGTGTTCACTGTGGTGCACGTGGTGACTAGTGATCTTGGAGATATGGGGCTAGTGCCGATGTCTTGTCACTGTGGTACGTTGATGACATCGTGCCCACAAACATAGTACTGTTCCTCGTCCTGGTACCACAGTTGCTGCAACCCCCTCTGCTGCTTCCGATGTTGTTCATGCTCTTGCTAATTTTGCAGCCTTACAGACTGTAGACCTGCGAGACTCTAAAGGGACCCACAACGGCAAACTGCACCCGTCTGCAGTCTTGGGGGGCTCCATGTACTTGGTTGTATGCTGTTTGCGACCAAACTTGTGCAGTCCGACACCTGAACATACCTGAACAAGCAATTCGAGGAGGGAACCGCTAGCACAACCCCTTGCAGTTACATACATGTGCATGAAGCAGCCGAGCCACCCACCCATCCAACCGCACCAGCAAACCAACACACAGAAGCCACCAACCCGTGCGCCCAACCATGCAAACCAAGTGAACACGCCAACCGGCACCCAACCCAAGCACCGTTTGATGAGCACCCACCCACGCAAACCTTTCAGCACGAGTCACCAACCCAGGAGAACATACCACCAATCCGGGTTCTCACATCCACCGACCAACCCACTTGCTCACCATGCCCAATAATCAACCACACACAGCAGAAATCGACGGATGCAGGGGTCGCAGCCTGCAACCTCCCGACTTCCTCATCCACGTCCGCCTTCTGCACCTGCGATGAGTGCTGTGGTGCTGGAGCAAATGGAGAAGGGGTGCTTACGACTGATTTGAAGGCAGCAGTTGGCAGACTTGAATGCTTCATCTTGGGGTATGCTTCATCTAATGCGAAGCAGAGCTGGGACTTAACGCTTGTACTCCACAGCTTCAGTGAAACCCCTACCGTTTTGCCTCCAGGGTATAAAGCTTCTCCGACAGCTCGTCGAAGACACGCTTCCCTTCTTCGTGCACACGCTGGAGCGACTGCCGGCGCCTGCGCAGAGTCGCGACGAATGTGAGATCTGCATAATATGATAAAATATAATTAAATGTAACGTAATATAACAGCGTCAAATAGTATGATATAACATGATGACAAATAATATAGAAATGCAATACACTCAACAACAGAACAGAACAACGACCAGGAAGTTGACAAGAGTGCCTCAAGCATGTTCTATATTGTTTTTATTTTTCAGTAAAATATAATACAATATATTACATTAAATTAGAACTTACTATATTGTATCATATTATATTAAAAACACTGACATACTCAATATTCATATACGAATGGGTTGATATACTTGTATATGCATCTAGTAGTATATTGGTATATTCATACGTTCCTTTATAACTTCCGAGTCTATTTTCTCGAGCCAATCTTGGCGATGAAACGAGTTTTGGACATTGAGCACAAATTGAGCACCATGTGAATCCCTCCAGTCTTGCTGTCTGATTCGGGTTACAACGAGAGCACTGCCGAACAAAGGGGTCCCACTTCTCGTCGCCTACATTTTGCATATAATTCATTTCGCATATCTATTGATGTACTCATGCCTTTCTATGGGTTTTGCTCGCCAAGTCCAGAACCATCCAGAGCCCAGAGAAACCCAGCTCCAAATTCACGCCGACACCCAAACCAGCAACGCAACCCTCCGCCTCAAACCCAGAAGCTTCGCATGCCAACAACCCACGAAAACCACGTACACACCTAAACTGAAGGCGTCGGAAGAATTGCCTGGATTCCCCATGCTCGGCCACTTGCTGGGAGTCGAGCAACTGCTCCATCTGTGCCACCAGGGCGCTGGAGTGTTATGCTTTAAAGCTTTCCAGCTGTCCTGTAATGACAGGCTGTTCCCGAAACCCTTTGTGCCACGTACCTTTTTGTTGCATACTGCAGGGTTTGTAAGACATTTTTTGCGCTTGCCATACATACATACATACATACATACATACATACATTTTAGCATACACACGTACATCCATGCATGAACGAAAACAAACATGCATACGTACATGCATACAAACATGCACGCATGCATGCATACATGCATGATCACACAAAGCCATTGTAATCACACATAGCCATGAACACACACACACACATACGTAAACGGAAGTTCACATGGATCCCGGTCTCTGGCTATCGGCTCGCCGACCCCACACCTTCCCAATGTTCGGCCGACCGAACCGGGATCCTCTACATACACATGTATGTGTATATACAGATATACAGACACCTACAGAATATACAATGCATATTACACACATATGTATACCTACATGTACTAATATAAACAGAGAGCGAGAGGGGTACGTGTAGGTATGCGTATGTGCATGTATGTACATACAGATAGACAGATAGATAGATAATGGGTAGACAGGTAGATAAAAAGATCATGATAAAAAGAAAGAAACATAGATAGACAGATAGATAGAAATAGGACAAAACAACACAAATGGAGATGGACACACGGATAAGCACATATTCGGACATATTGTTTCATGCATTATACCGTAACGTATGCATGTGGCGAGAGAACGAGTGGGAGAGCGAGAAACCGAAGGTCCCGACGGCCTCCTGCGAGTGATTCAGCAGGATCCGAAGCTGGGCCGAAAGAAATCGGCACTGCCTGTCAAAGCATTCTATAGACTTAGCATGACGACTCAATGACACTTGTTATGGCGTGGCTGTTGCTACATAAATAAATACATAAATAAATATAAATAAATAAATATATATATATACACTACTGTAGTCACATTTGCAGTTGCTTCTATAGTTCGCTTTGCAGTAACTCACTGGAAGACAAGATGCTATTCGTCATGTATCGCTCTCACTGTTGCCGTCAAGATGTTTGCCTACCGCCTGGCTAGGACGAACCTACGACAAGCTGTGAAGTCTTTGCGGTCGCATCGGCCGAAGCGAGCAGCGCGAGAAGGGTCTGCAGTCAAGCCCCAGGGTCGCACGACAAGTCAAGTCGCCAGCTTATGACTTATGGTTCATACTTATCACCGATACCCCATGCAAAATCGAACGGGCTCATCTAACTTGTCAGAGCTTAGTTGCACTTGGAACTTGATCGGTGCTTCTATCGCAAAGAAGTAATGCGTGGATCCATGCCATGTTGCGAAAAAAACTGCTATCGGTGCAGGCTGTGTTAGAGGATTGAAAAAGTTTCAACGAGCATGCATCCACTGATGCTTGTAAAAATCGATACTCGTCTACGGCGTTCTCACTTTGTCATCCTGATGAACTTCTTCTCGTCCCAGTACTGCATATGCGGCGCACCCTTCAAAACCTTTGAGCCGGCATCCTTGCCCACCACCAAAATGTCTGTGAGACTGGATACTGAGGAGGTGACTTTGGCCCCGGCCGCTTTTGCAATTGACTTTGCAAGGCCACGCTTCAAAGTCAAAGCGCCTGTGAAGCAGAGGGTCTTGCCGGCCAGCTTCTTCTTTCCCGACGTAGACTTCATGGCCGTCTTCATGACGGCCTTCATGGCCACTGCCTTGGCCTTCGGCTTGGCCTTCGCCTTGGCGCTCGGGATCTTTCCAGCCTTCCCTGCGGGCATCTTGGTGGTGACTTTCGCCTTGCCTGTCACGTGGTAGCCTTTCTTTTCCTTGGAAACCTGTGACTTCTCCAAGAAGGCTATGGCAGCCGCAAAGTCTTTGTGCACCTTGGTACTGGTGGAGGGAACCCCTCCGATCTTCCCAAAGGACACGACCGTCGTCTTATCCCAGCGCGCGCACTCCCAGAATTTCGAAGAGCCGCCCTCGGTGCATTCGCAGCGGACAGAGTGCAGGGCAGCCATGGCTTTTTTGCGGAGGTCGAAACGACCCCGACTCCCTGAGACTTGCAGGCTTCTCTCAAGGTCGTCGAGTCTTACAAGCTCCATGTGAGTCAGTGTAATATAGGATGGAAGGGCTTCTAACTTGACGAGCTTCATCTGTCATAACATTGTGTTTCAGGATTTACGGCATCTGTTGCGTCTTTTTCCCTGAAGACGTCTTTCCGTCCGGAGAATGGAATTGAATCCTGGAGCCACGAGGCGTCTGCTTTGTGCTGTTCGTTTAATCCTAACTTCGTTGCTTTTGGCCATCCCCCGAGGGAATATTCCCATCCTGTGATATCCTGTGTCGATCTCCAGACCACACTCATCCAGCGACCGGGCAGGAGGAACCGCTTGGCCTGTCTTGCATCATCTGCCGTGGGGACAAATCTTCATCCTCAAGTGCTCCAGAAAGGTCCTGTCAGACGCGACGGAGTTGCGGCATGGACTTACCAGGCCGAGTAAAACACGCTGTCCTGCTGGGCTGCGAGGATGCTATCTCTCGCCTTGGCAGGTCACACGTGCCACGTGGGATTCATGGCTGCGAAAGAAGCTGATGCCAAGTCGCGGCTCGGAGCTGTTTCAACTGATCCTGCTGGAGCTGCACCTGCCCAACACAAGTGTTCTGACATTTCTGCCGTCCATCGCTTTCGGCCAACCTTCTCTTCGAGAGAGGCGACACGTTGACCTCCGAGCAGCTTGCGCATTGAGGCAGCTAAATAACATCGCGTCGCGTCTGTCGCAGTTCCCCCAGCAATGGACACTGCTGTGCGTTGTGCAAGGCTTGCAGCGCCTGATGGCGCATCCGCCGAAGTAGTGGTCATCTGCCCCCTGCCGGCTACACCACGGCAAATGAAAGAGAGAGAGAGAGAGACAGAGAAAGAGCTGACATAAAGTCAAGTAAACACATAATGAGGCATCCCAACACATATACATATATAACTACATAATATATATATATATATATATATGTATTACATACACATATACCAACCATGCAAACTATGTGGGCAGAAAAAGAAATCTGCAAACACCAAGAATGACAAACATGCAACACAGTGTCACATACTCCAAGCCCGGAACCCATAGCTCTATGACACCCATCTTTTTCGGAAACTGGTTACTTTATACTGTGGCCGACGTCACCGGTGCAAAAAATGGAATCGCTACGAATGGGATGATGAACCGGAGGTAAACAGCAATCGTCACCTCCATGCGTAGTTGAATACCAATCATGAAGATAAAGATTGTCGCAGCAAGGATGGCGAGCAACACTCATCAACCATCACCAAGAGCATCGGTGCAACAGTCATGGCAACTGCAACCGAAGGAAGATCTTGCCTGAGTTCAGCCTCGCGGCTTCTGCTTGCTGCGAGCTCCTGCAAAGCCAAGTGCTAAGCAGGTTATTCTGCGGCATCTTGTTGATTGTTGTTTCAACACATAGTTGCGGTCACCGAATCATCTCCATCACCAGCACCACAGTTCCAACATGTACAATGATGAGCACGAATGAATTCACACAACCATTGGTCCGAAGTCATGCTGCGCTGCTGCACTACATCACCGGCCACCATGTGACACAACGCGTAGTGAAAGGTTTGTCTTGATCCGTTTGTAATGCCGAAGCAAGGAAAACGTCCCCGTTGTACTGCGCTACTAATAAGCAACATCCGTGGGTCGAGGCACTTGCTTGCGCAGCATGCACGTGGAGCAAGCAATGAGCAATCGATGGTCGTCGGCAGGTCTTTCGAACGGTGCATTCGCTATTGAAGCGGCTGTATTTCCACCGCCCCGCAGTAGCTCAGCACTCACTCGATGTCGATGACGGTGCTACCTGAGGCCTTTTTCGATTCATCCAGCACCTTCAGGGCACCCGCGCGTCGTGGAGTATTAGCGCTGCAAGCTCCCCTGGCCTTCCCCAGCAGGAAGAGTTCTCGCAGCACATCCTGGAGGGTGGGGGGTGTCTGCAGGCAAACTCAGCTCCCCCCCTCCTGACTGACCGGCGTTGTGTCCTCCGTTTTGTTGCTGGGCTTCTTCTGCCGACTCCGCATCTGCATCAGCTTTGTCCGTGCGGAGGACTTGATGGAAGGCCCGGACCTGGCAAAAGCCACATGTGCAAACGTTGCGTGCAGATATAGTATCTGCTGCATTAACGGATGCACTCAACCTGCTGAAATGATACATGACATGCGACCATGTCCCAAGACAGAATCATTCCGGTGGGTTGGCATGGCCACAATGTAAACTTAGATGAGAGCTCCATCTCGACAAATGTCAATTGTACAGACCGGTGATATCGTGCCAATAGTGGCCTATCGTATCTCTTCGCAATTTCCGCTCGATTGCCTCTCCCGCCCTTCTTGTTTAGTCATCGGGTGGTGAAGTGACCTAGATCGACTTACCTGTGATGTTAACCACTCCTGCCTGTTTGATCCCTGACCGGGCAGCAGCGAAGGCCGTTCCTGGCTGAATTCATCTGAATTCGCAGAATGCCTAGAATCGACCGTGTTTAGCAGCCACGAGCTACAGCTACAGCTGTTGAACTTGCAACCCAAGGCAACAACATCTTCTGATCACACTCCAATGCTTGTGTACACGTCGTCGGCTTAACCCATTCATCCGGGGAACTGCTGCAGCCGCCGCTGAGGATGAAGACCGTGCTGCCCCCAGATCTCCTATTCGTGTCTACGTTCTACATTGTCTATCTGAGACTATCTGCATAGACAGCTCGATGGCAAAGCCAATCTTGCAACACATATTGCCCTGAAGTGAATGCAGTAGCCGTTTTGCCGGTGAGATTTGAAACGGGGCTTCTGACAAAAGATCTATGCATTCGAGCCCACAGAATCCCAAACCTGACCTGTGACGGACATCCCCCTTTGTGCAAACTTCACGTCCCCGTCCTTTGAAGACTCTTTGGCCTTGGCTGGGCTCCTGCTTTGACTGCACCTCGAGGCCAAGCTTAATCGGCCTGGGGCCGTCTCTCGTATATGTCCGGGTATGCATCTCCGAGTAACATGTTGGTCCTGCTGGGTGTGGGCGATTTGTGCAAATGCAGCCCGCTTAGTCTCGCGACCCACCGCAACTCTTCACAAATCCCTTCTTTACATGCGCCACTTCATTAAAGCCGGGACCCCGTCCTGGCCTTCCGCGCACGTTCGATCTTCACAGCTGCAGGCGGTGCCTGCGCTGCCTGCTCTGTCTTTATGGCCGCCTCCTGGTAAGTCGCGCAGGGTCTGCGCCCATGTGCATAAGAACGTTGGCTCTGAAAGCATGCGCGGTTGTAACAGTAAGGACACACATCTCATCACTTCCCCAAGAGGCACCTTTCGGCTTGCTTGCTCCAGCTCTTTTTGAAACTGCTGCGTCCACTTCGCAACCTCGGCATCGATTCGAACCCATTCGATATACATGTGGCAATCGTATCACCCTTGGGTTCTGAAATTCTTCTTTGTCTGTCGTGGCACGACTTCATATGCCTATAATCCCAGCAGCCAATGCCCCTGCATCCACCATCGCCGGCTCGCAATAGCTCCGCAGCCCGGTGAGCGTGCCTGACATCTTCAACAAGCGTGTGAAACTGAACAGCCAAGCCGATCTAGGTCTTGGGCAAGCCATGCTCGTAGGCAGGCTGACAGTCTCGCATTATTGTCCGGGAGTTCTCTGCCGTCCATCGCACGTTGGTTAAGAAGCCTCCAGTGCTCCTATGTCAAACAGATTCGTGGCCGTCTGTGCCAAACGACAACAGGAGCTGCACTCTCCAGAGTACTTGGTCCCTGCTTGACCTGCTTCCGGGAGCTGATCCGGAAACCATGCCGGCGCCTACGCCCTGCCCCTTCCTACTTGTAAGACTAACAAGTTTGGCTTGAATATGGTCCAAGCGGCGACCAATGCCAGTTGCCTTCAGGCAGTCCAGTGTCATTGGCAGCTCCTCGTGGCAGGGTCTGGTGCAAAATGCCGCGCGATGCCGTGCGAAGTGATGCTGGGCCCTCTGAAAACCGAAGAGCTTTCCTGAAGCATAAAGCTGCTTCCTGTTCAGCAATGGTCTCGACGACGACACGAACAATGTCGAAAGAGTTCTCGAACGACGACTGAGGAGGGAGCGATCCACAGCACAGATGGGTTGGACTGCAGCCTAGGTTTTATCGCATGTCACCTCGCGGGATAAGAGGTTGGATGCTCCAATCTGTAACAGTTTCAAAGCTTCAATTGTTGCTCCGACCGTTTTTTCCTGCAGCTTGCGTTCGCTGTGGACAGTGTTCTCGCCACATTGCAGTGTGCGGACCTCATCGCCCCGGGTACTCAATGCATTCAAACCGTGGCATGCTGCCTGGTCACGGGTGATGTTGGCTTTCCTCCCTTTCATCTGCGACTGTGCTTTGATTCAATTTCCACATTCTGAAACTTGCAAGTGGATATTTTCTTGTGGGGGCCTGGACCTCAAGTCTCATAACTCTTCCCGGTGGTTCGTGATTCTTGACATGGTGCACATGCCAAGTCCTCAAGAAGGGCGAGGCACTCCAGGGCAACGGCCTCGTGCTGCCTCCACCAATGCGACTGTCAGGTTGCGGATTTGCTAGCCACTTCTCGTTCTCGCTCTTGTTCTTCTCATGCGGCTTCTGTCTCACACGAAATATTGGCAGAACTCTGCAGGAACAAATCTACACCATCTGACATGTCATGGGAACAAGTTGGCAGAGTGTATATAACGTTAGCCAAGCTGTAAATGCTGCCAGTGTCCAGAGCATCTGTTGACCCATGTTCCTCTACTCGACTGCCTCAGTGCTTCTGGTGGAGTGTCTCGGTTGAGCGCAGACTGTAGCCAGGAGCGGATCTCGGAGACACCTCAGAGAGGCAAAGACAAACGCTTGTCACTAGGACTCCGAAGTGAGCCTTCGAAAGCCGAAGACTACCCAAGAAAAGCCACTTTGAAGCCAGTCTGCCTTCTGTAGATACTGATACCGTCTCATGTAGACGACAGACCCTCATCTTCGACCTGGAAGAAAGGGAGCCCAAGCCGTTCTGTGCAGCCAGGGAGCCGCCGCCCTGCACGAACGCCACTCCCGCCTCCGGTTGCCGCAGCACGCTCTCACGCAGTATCATGGCAAACCTGTGCAGCAGTACATCTTCTTCTAGTTATTCTAGTTTTGTCTAACCGACAAGTCTTCGGGGCGCATGCCCTGGGTTTGCTCCCTGAGGCCTCCACGTAGGGGACCGCTGATCAGAGTGGTTCTTGACTTCGGTTTGTCAGGCCCGGGCATGGATTTCGGAGTTCCTCTTCTTTGCTCATGGCTCCCGTTTGCAAAACTTGAGCTTCAACTGTACAACAGCAACAAGGCCGCCAAGCAGCCTTAGGCGGTGGGAGGTTTGTGCCGTTTTGGACCTGCACCGAGGCTTCCGCTTTCAACACCACGCGAGTACTGTTGCACTGAACTGACACACAAGACTTCACCTGTTGGACTTGTGTTGGATGTCACGTGGTTTTTCGACTTGTCGTCGCCGACGACGGCACACAACTTCACGGGAAAAGAAGCCGAGCAAGCTGAATCTTCATTGGCCAAGACACATCCCAGCTATGGCATGGCCAATGTTTGAGAGCGGGATGAACCCATCGGAGTGCCTCACAAACACGGTGAGCGAAACACAAGAGTTCGCACGACTGGTGCAGTGCTGAAGCCGCTGCCAGTAGAATTTAAGTGAAGTGAATCAGTGATGCCGTTGATCATCAGGGGCGTGGTGGACATATTGCACTTCGAGAAAGGGAAACACTGTGAAACACCCCCTTCAAGGATGAGTTGCATCATCGTATCACTATCGGAATTGCCGCTACCATCGCCACCACCACGAAACCACGCCGCGCCCCGAGCACCGGCGCGCACGCTGAAACGCTGACGCTTGCGAGTCCCAGGTGCTGGAAGGAGCCGACGGGGCCCAGCCTGGCTTCGGCCTCAATCTGCTCCAGGGCCTGCGCTTCCAGCGCAGGCAGTCTCAACTCTCAGAGACTTTCAGAGACTCGCAGACGCGGGACGGGGTGCCGGAGATCCTTGAGCCTTGCCTCGTCCATCGCGTTGCCGACGCTGCTCCATCTTTGGCGAACGTGCTCACGCGCCTCCTGACAGGGAAGACCCGTCTTTATACTTGAGGACGCCCATGCGCAGGTAACTAAGATCTTTGTCCCACCAAGCTGAAAGGCAAAAAGCACGAGAAACTCGAAGATCGAGGAATCTCCTAGTCCT